TCATTCAATTCGTACGTCAAGAGTTTAAGCGAGTTTCTAACTGCGTTCCGCAACTGAAAATAATTTTAAAAACGTAATACACATCGATGTAAGACGCAAGTTGCAGCTGGTAAATTGAAGATTCTAGCACGCGTAGTAATACTATTGTCTTCAACAATGATGTATGAGAAATTCCATTGGGTCTGTGTTCTCGAAAGACGGAAGTTGAATACACACAAGTGACACATTCGTGTATTTTACGTCCAATCAGATCGATAATTCATCAGTTAGATCATTGGCATTTGATAACTATGACACAGAACCTCCGAGTTGTTGCGAAACTAGGTAGTCTCGCGACTACCCAGGTACTCAAGAAATATCGGTAGTTCAATAGTTTAGCCGCAAATATGTGCACAATGCATTGACAGACCTTGTGCATTATTCTGAGATATGTGGCACGTCCGTGTCGTGAATATGCAAGTTTCTGAGAAATAACGCAGGATGTTTGTCAAGTTCGAGATGAAAACAAGTGACTTCAATAAGATCGATAATACACGAGGAGTTCAATTTCTGATACAACATAAATTTCGAAATTATACTCCGTACTATTAATCAAAGTTGCAACAAAAACAAAAACAATTGTAATAGCTATATCTGTAACCGCATGCAATTCAATTATCCGACTTTTATAATTATCGTTTTTTTTTTTTTTTTTTTTCAATTTGCTTAAATCTATAATTGCTTCCGGAAGAGCTTGTTAGCGCGCTTTGATGCGACCCGCAAACGACAATTTGATGTTCATCTCTGATATGAGAGCAACGATCTTATAAAGCAATAAAAGAAGAAGCTATTTGCACAATTGCAGCAGGAACGTTCCACTTATCCGTAGTTCGATTTCCATATCTATCGTCCCATGTAAATAACCGAGTAAATAAGAGTCTTGCATCTATATGAGACAGATCGATTGCGTTTCACTCGATTCTCGATGGATATAATATATCTATTTGTAAGTTGTAGATATTTGCAAACGACCCGTCGAAATGAGTGATACTCTACAGACGGTGGAAAATTTCGAAATTGTGTCGCAACGAGGTAAGCGCAAGAGTTTAGCGAGAATAAAGTAGATAGAGAAGGCTCTGGCTCTGGAAGTTAATTAGTCTCGAATGCCAGATGATACGACCCTAGCATAAAAACAATGCGAGAAAAAAATATTTCAACATGCGTTGCAGTACGCGTAACTCAACGCAACAAGAGATATAAACAACACGAATTTTTTTCCGGTAATAATCCGCTTAAAATAACATTAGCATGACGTCAACTCGCGTACATAGAATGAAGAACAACCGTCACGATATCTGATATTTGTTGTATATTGAAACTGGGATCACACACGATCGTATATTCAATCGTATTCGAAATATATAAAAATAACTTAATATATATATAAAAAAAAGAGATGGTAAAATATAATAAAAGTAAAAAAATAATAAAACTAATAAAAATAATAAAAATTCACCGAGCAAAATCACAGTTTGCTTGCCAGTTTTAAATATTTATAAAATAGCATGAATTATCAAACAACAGAATATTACATAATGTATCAACTATTCGTGATGGATCACATAACGGATTACAATCGGTTATTATGTGCTTGTCAAACAACCGATATTTCTGCATTGCTGATAATTACAGTTTATAAATTATGCTCACACTATTACCGAACGTACATGATACATATCTATAATAACATCGAATACAATAACAATCGCGTAATTTTGGAACCATATAAAAAAGAAATTGCAGAAATACTTTAGACTAAATAAATCTTTCACGTTTTGTCGTAAAATGTTTTTCAATATTTATTGGCAGTTTTTTTTTTTTTTTTTAATTTTTTTTACGCTATATGCAAGATCCACCATCACTTTCGATGTCGTTAGATAATTAACATTAATAATAAAAAAAGAATATTAATCACTTTGCTTAGTGGTAATGTATCAAGTCCATTATTACTTCAGTGGCAAAAACCAAGATACTTGATTAGATGATTAAGTGATTATAAGTGATTGATGGATTATTCAAGCCTTTGTAAATCTCTACTAGTTGCTAGAGCAATTAATACGAAAGGATTTTAACACGTCACGTATTCCAATAATCCTGGATTAGCGGAATATCAGAATATGATTAGCAAAACATGACTTTAAACCAGATTAAATAGATGCGCTTTTCGATGCATAAATATTTGATCTCATGCCTCGGCAATCAAAAATATTATATGCACACATGTAGGATAATTTTACATAATCATAATATATCGTAATTTGCATAATGTTATGTAATGACATTCTTTTAATAAAGCACATTACATATATATTTATGTATATATTATATTATTATTTCAATAAAGTGCAATATGCATCATTCCGTGATAATACCAATAATTTTTCCAATAGTTAACCGAGGCTCATTTCTCAATTTTCCTAAGAAAGAGGTCACAAATTAAAACTTCACGTTACCAAATCAAATTACAATCCAATGTAAAAATGACCAAAACTAACGACACGTTGAGAATTTGCCTTGTAAATTTTCTGAATTTGAGAAAAAAACAAATGCCGATCTATCGAAGTAATATCGACTTGGTCTATTGACGTTTTCCCCGTCTACAAAATGCAATACATTAAATTTCGAGCTCAACGACGGATCGTTCGTTCTTAAATATTAATGCAATCGATCAAAGTCCAGGTTCACTGTACTCTGTCTCTATCAATAACCAGACTCGGCAAACAGAACGCAACGGAACGGAGAATGAACAATCGTAACTAGACGCTGTCTTGTCAATACGTAATTAGGCGCGGCAAAAGAATAATTCTATCAATATAATTATCCCGGGGCGTTGGCTCGTCCAAGTATTCGTGAGGATAATCGTAATTCCATCGATGGATCAATTTCAGTGAGAACACGAGCGGAGGGGACCGGCCGTGTGCAGCATAATCAATTTGAATCCACGGGCGGTCCATCAAGTTGCAATTTTACAAACAATTCTCCCGCGGATAGGATGTAATTATCCAGTCTCATTACAACGTGTTCAACGCCCTGTAATCATTATTACCTCATTTTCTCGTACGTGCGAGTGTGTATGCGGCTATTGATTTATATATTTAATTAAATATTGTACCGATATATTGTGTAACAAACTTATTTTTGTCGCCTATATTATAACGAGTCTCTCGAATGATTCTTTTAAGTCTGATCTGAATGGTATAGTTTGATATACGAAAAACTCGCTCGATCGCACGGAGAAACATGTAAAAATACATTGCGTCCGAAATAAGATATAATCACGTGAAATTGTATTATTTTTATTCCGCAAACGTTTATCGTGGCAAACGAAGCGATCGAATGATAGCTCGCAAATTAACGGCAAAACTCCGTTCAACGGACGCGAAAATATCGGTAACGCAACGGCCAAAAGGTCGAGCGTTGGATGAAAAACAAACGGATTCAAATGCAAAATTATATGGTAACTAAATCACGGCGGTGCGATTGCAATGACGTCCAATTGCGGCGAGACAAACTTTACCGAATGTCAACACGACGGAAAAACATCCAAAAAATAATACAAAACGTACGAAAGCTTTAACTTTTCGCGCCCGGGAAATCGTACGTAAAAACGAAAAACATGAAGCGCGCACGAGGGTACTGATAGCCCGGCACCGCATTATATCGATACTCGATATCGAACTTCTTTTTAATGGATACGTCGATACGCTGACTGGCTCGCGCCTCCGACACCGCTTTTATGGCAATCAGTCGAAGCCGTAAAACCATGTTGTATCGAACGACACGCGACCCTGAAAAAACGACGTAACCAGACGCGCCACATGTGCCTCAAATCGTACATACTTGTCTTCTAATTTAACTTAATGTAGCGATAGAAAGATAAAGTTACTTTCTTATCCTATCCTATCAGAAAAAGCGTGTGTAAATAATCACAATCGATTTTCTCGGTATTGATTGTTGTTGTCACTTTTTAGAGTGGAAACGGATGTGTTTCTCGATTCATGTCGTATGAATCAAGTGGCACGGTACAGTGCCTCGCGCCGTTCGAGCGCGACTTCGCGTTGCGTGTCTTTAAAAACGTAGGAGAAGAAAAACGCCACGTGACATTAAAAAGGCCACATGACTTTAAAAACGTGACTAAAGTAAAGTCACGTGACTTTAGTCACGTGCTGTTATTCCTCTCCTCTCTGTCACGTGACTTTACTTCAGTCACGTTTTTAAAGACACGTTAAAATAAAAACAATAATAGCGTGCGCGTAGCGCGCGCCTGTGTTGTGCTATAGTTGAAGTATAAAGAAACAACTAACTAAATTCATTTTCAAAAAAACAACTTGATGTCACATACTTGATGTCTTTTTTCTTATATGACAAGAAATTCGATTTAAAGTTTTGCTCGTGAATTGAAGTCGTTTCGTTTAGTTTGGCAATGATCCGTGAAGCCCCTTTTAGAACGCGCGACACACGGACACACGCGACTTCCTAAGCGCGATTTACACGCGATTATACGGTTAATCATAACAAGTAAATACAAATATTTACAAGAAAACTCGCAGCAATAAAGAGAGAGAGAGAAAGAGAGAGATAACAGAAGAGAAAGAAATAACCGATATGATTTCCACACGTTATTAAATCGGTTATTTTTACGAAATCTGCGATTATCACGCGTATAAAAATATTAGTAACGTAAAGTTGTCGCGCAAGATAACTGATATAAATTATTTTACGTGAACGTTTACGAAGAAATTGACGAGAAATTACATAATGAAAAAATGTCACAATGATATGTGACAGTAAGGTTTATCCCGTCGGAGAAAACGAGGTAAACGACTTTTCGAGCTGTAATGGTCGATACTTACAATGAGAAATGCAATTTGCGGTTACTTTGCGTCGAAACGTAACGGTCGCGTTACCAGGAAAGCATGTTAGAACTTGTCGCGAAATTTGCGTGAACGTGACAATCTTACCTTAAGCTGATGTTGCGGTCGTCTGAGCGCGCCCTGGTCCCGCCGTCCGCCCAGTCGATCGGCTTCCGCTTCTAATCCCTCCATCGAGGACTCCGCTTCGCTCAACCAGGCCAGAAACTTGTCTAGAGACCGGTCGAAGTTGTGGAGCGAGTTCATCGCGGAGTGCAGTAGTTTCCCTCGATTGATGATGCTAGAAAACGTATCGATCGATACTGTGTTACACATTCGCGATCTACAGTTTGATTCGAAGTTGCTGTTAACTCGAATGACGCCATAAACACAAATGGAAACTCGCATCTCAAAAGCGAGCGCGCCACATTCGTACATGTATGTATAATATAAACTATTCCGCAAGTTGCATACTTTCTCTCAAACGAGTGTTTTATCGATCGATTGTTGACACATCGATTTTTAATCATCTCTGATATATTTTTACATTTTCGATATTTACATGTATTTTCAGAATTAAAATAAGTCTTGTAAAAAATACAGAGTGCAATTATTTCAGTCGAAACGTTTACTTGAAACATTTAGAAGTTCTTTAACAAGGTTCTCGTAAAAGAGAAAAAAAAAGAAAATTGTCAATACTCACCTCGTGTTCAGATTGTTGTATCGTTGATTGATCGTTTCTGTCATTTTCTTCACGCGTGTGGTATCGTCCTGCTGATAAACCGCTATCAGCTTCTGAGTGAGCTGATTAAAAAGATCGATGTGGTGCTTGTATTGATGCAACTCGGCGTGGAACGACTGCGAAAGAAAGAAAAGAAACAAAAACGTGAAATCGACGAAGGTGAGATATATATATATATATGGCGAGTGAATAAAAAGGAGACTTATCTAACTCCAAGCTTGGTATCGAGTTAGAAGAAGCCGTACCTGCTTTACACTCGACGGAAAAAGAGAGAGAAAGAGAAAGAGAGAGAAAAAGAGAGAGAATCTCGATAAGTCGGCAAAGTTAAATCTCCGACTCAGGAAGGTTCGAACTAAAGTTTTACGCCGATATGCCGTACGGTGCAACTTTTCTTCGAGTGTCTGTCGACACTGATTGGTCCCGAATCAAACTCGTATATAAACATCTCGATATAAAATGCCGGAATAAATAATGCATATTTTCGAAAAGCAAATAACGACGCGCAAGAAGAACGAGAGAAAGAGAGAGAGAGATACATATATATATATATATAAAATTCAGTCTCATGAAAGCAGAATTAAATAGAATATCAACCAAACGCGTTATCTTTTCGAAGAGACGAGCGTTACGTCAAACTGCGCTTTCATCTTCGAAACCCATTCAAAAGACACGACAAACTTCGGAAGAAGCACTGCAAATGCATTCCGCTCAAAGGCACACCGTCACGGTGAAATAAATTATTCCATGAATATCTCATTTGGCTCTTTTGAATCTAAACAGAGATGCTTCTCGCACGTGATGTGTCTCCGTCCACCGAGATCTCGTTGATTGAGAAGTTGGAAGCTCCGTTTCTTCCTCCCATTCCGCTTTTTCCCTCCGAGCAATTTTCTTTCTTTTTTTTTTTTTTTTTCCCAGAGCACGTTATACTCTCGTATGCAAAGTGGGCGAAGATTACTAGAAAGGGCTTATTACCGGACAGATGGATTCCAAAGTGTTCGCTCTCTCGTTAATTCCGCTTGCAAATGGGAAAAGTTCGTGGCTTTGGAAAACACGCATTCGCATCCGCGAACTTCAGATATACATATTCATTGCTTATATAAATGTCGTGTAATAATATGAAAAGAAGGTCGCGTTCGCAAGACGCTTCGTATACATAATACATTCTGAAGTATAATAACAAAATCGTGTGGGCACACCGCGATTCTATGTTTAATGTAAAACAATTCTCTCATTACTTCAAAAAATTCTGCTAAATAATTCACTTGGCGAAATTTCAAAAACGCTTAACATTTTCAAGTGCGGATAGATTAAATGCATTACGCAGGAATTACTATTGCGGTTTTTCTCGCGCGCGCGCGTTCTCTCTCCCCGTCTTTTATCTTACCTAACCACTAAGGACACTTCTCACGCGCGGTACTAAAAACTTGCCAACTTGAAGAGCTAACGCGGTTACTTGCGGGAACGAGAGAGAGAGTTCGAGGTACCTTTTGTTCCCTGAGCTGTGCCTCGAGTACGTCGGCAGTGTGTCCAACAGCTCGCATTCTCTCAAGTCGAGTTTCCATTCGCGCCAGCCAGACCTCCACCTCGTTTCTCTTCGCCTCGTATCGCTGACTGTCTCCCAGCATCATGTCCAGCTGCGTTTTTCTTTGCATGACTTTTGAATTCGTCTCGTCCCAGTGCTCCCTCAACTTGGTAACTGCAACATTAATCAGACGAACGGCGCGGTTAGAACGCGGTTAATGAAGCGCGCGTGTATCGCGCGCGTTTTAAAATCCCGCGGGAACGTTAATCAACGTGAATAATTCTGCGAGCGAGAGATAATTTCGCAAGCCGCTCTCCGATTCGTGAAAACGCTTTATTCCCGCATCAAAAAGCCTCGAATCATCAAAGTGCGTTCGAATTGCTAAGCAGTGTTGGTGAAATATTTTTTTCGTATAAAACAGTGCTGCCAGCATTGATACGTACACGATTTATTTCTTCTTATGCGTGATATTAAATCAATAAATTATATCGACACTAAATAAAGTTTGTATGCAATATCAAGCGAGAAATGTCACAATAACGCTTTTCGATTACTGTTTTTTCCGTGTTGTACCTCGGCCCGTTATGCTGCAATATTCTAGAGAATAATCTAACTAATCAAACTAATGTCTATTAAAATCACAAGCTTCGAAATTTGCACCATACGCGAGATATCAGTTGGAAACAATCCAAACCGTAATAAACAAGTTAGAGCACAGCTGGATGAAGCAAGCGCAATACACTGGCAACGATTCAGCTGCCAGTATCCGCAACAACAAAATTCGCACGCGTGAACATTCTGTACCTTTAAGAATGCACCTTATATGCGCGATGCTTCGAGAACGTGTGTCATCAAACAGCACCGAAACTAAAATAAAAAGAGTCTCTGATACAAAGACATTTCTTTGAAAAAGAAAATCTCGTAGCAATTCTTTTCAAAAACACACATGGTAAGAAAATCGTGATTTTACAAATAGAGACAAAAAATACGATGGGTAGTGTAAAGCCAAACACTAAAATAAAAAATAAATTTATAATTTCACAATAAAAAGCATTATATTTGTGCACAATATTATCTTTCTATTTATAAAATAAATTATTTCGAATATCGCTTCAAAACGCGAGAACGTGTTTAAAAATTATTTTCTTAATATCACAAAGTGATATTTATTGGCGCGCGTAACCAACTTTTTAGACTCTGAACGAACACTGCGTTAGATTTTTAATTCGATACGTGTATAAAACAAATATATTTATTTTATTTCAATTAAAATAAATTATCATCCGTATTTGACGCGAATCTCGAGTTATTTTCTCTCTGTAAATGTAAAATCTCTAATTTCTTTACAATTGCAATATAGTGTGCAAATGAATACTTAGGGTGGCACAGCATTGTTCACAAAGACCGTAATCGCATTGCATTCAACGCGCGCAATAGAAACAACCAACGATCAACCAAGGAGAAAATAAACGTTGCCCATACCGCGGGGCTAATATAATTCGAGAATTCGCGCAATGTAGCAAGAGATACGCGGCTTTTCTGTGTCTCGAGATCCGCGCTCTATAAAATAAATTTAAACCGTGATTGCGTTTACAAAAGCTGCGCTTTGGGATACATTTGTCACATAAATAAACACGTTGTTATTGTAATATGGTATTTGATTTAAATGTCTCGCAATTTTTAAATAATATAATAATATTCTTTAAAACGTGCACGCACATGCGCGCGCGTTAAATATAAAATATATAATAAAAAAGAGACACTCGCGTTTTATCTGCACACATATATCTTCTTTCGCTTCGTTCGATGATGATAAATAAATTCTCTCGACGCGCGTACATAGTCCGAGAACAAATGCGAAACAAATGTGACAACGTGTTTTCTGACGTGTGTGGTTGCAATAAAAAAAAAAAAAAAAAAAAAAAGAGACTTCAACGAGCGGTGATAAACTGTGAACGGTAAACCCTCGCAGTGCGGAACCGCGAGAACAATTTGCATCGCAAAGGATTCGCTACCTTACATATTCATGTACTTACTGTATTAATAGTTTCCACTATTCCTGAAGTTCTACCTGTTCCGTTTAACACACCGCGTTGCATTCATTATTCAAATATATTAAATGACGCGTGACATATCTACATATAAACACGCGCACAAGCACGACTCGGATAATCCAATCGTGAACAAGTGTCATCTTATACAATTTGAAGGAGATGCGGCGGAATGAGGAAGGGTTAAAGAACAGATCTGAAATGTGCATACGTATGCCAACTATAAAAGGTTCGGCTCCACCACCTCGTTCCCCAAAGAACGTCGCGCAAAAAACAAGGGTGTTGCCAGCATTCTCTCAATGACTTTCAACGACTTATTACGAGAGCAATTCTCCCTCATCGACCCCTATGCGCTTCGACCCTTGCTTTAAAGCCGTTCTTAGAGAGTGTACCTTTCTGCATGAACACCGTAAGGACAGAGATCAGTCGGGAAGAAGAAGAGGAAGAGGAAAACACTTTCTCTCTGACAATTCTAATCCATTTTTAACGCAGCGAACGCTGCGACGCGATTTTAATAGATTTTTCATTTAATTTGTTCCAATTATGTCGACGAGAAATTCGCGAGACACGTTAAGACATGTAAGAACAAATTATTAAAGATCATCTTCTTCGCGATAATCGGCATATCGTGTTAATCAGCGTTTCAAATTTCATTATCGCGACAGAATACCAGATAACTTTTCAAGAAAGGAATCATCATGTGAAATTCTATAACCGTAATTTGATTTTCTTTTTCTTTTCCTAAAGCGATAAATTAATTGTAGAATAACCGTATAAGACGAAACCAACGAGCGATGCATCATTTCTCTCTCGCACGACGAGAATACACATCCACGAGAATTACTGCAAGAATAATGTATGCAGCATCATGGCACCTGCAATGAGTTATCGACACATCTGAATCTTCCAACGTCCTCTCCTATAGCACGCACATGTTGCTACTATAGATTATGCAGAGTCATATATATGCAGAACTGACGAGCGCGCATATTCACGAGGGAGTCACAAAGTTTCCAAGAACGCATTGTCCGTGAAACTATCGAGATTCACGATATCCAAGGAAAACTGTGTCGCGAAAATAGCGACTCAAAAATTGTTCCTCTCGCAATCGGTTTATATTAATAAATCGCAAATTTCCAAATCGTCAAGTCGCAAATAAAACACATCTTTCGTATAAAACAAAAAAAAAAGAAAGAAAGAAACATAATAAAATAATAACAAATTTAAACTAATATTGAACTTTATTTTTATTATTATATTGTTTTTATTATTATATTGATTTTATTATTATATTATATTATTGGGTATAACAGAAAATTAAAACCTAAAAATTAAAATTTTACATATGTTCGAATAAAAGTTTTGCATTTAACAAAATATAATTTCACTCCTCTTTTTGTTACTCCAATCGATAAAAATTACATTTCGCTTGCTTGATGCTGACTAAGAGCCGGGTCGATATTGCAGAAGGTTGATCCGAAGAAAAAAGCAGAGAGAAGAAAAGCGTCGTTATTAGATCTTAGATATTTTCTCTTTTTCTCGTATAACATTATCTTTTATTATCGTAAGGCTTGATGCGTCATTATTAAATCGTGATGAATAATGCGGTCAAATAGATGCAAAACTTTCACGACGTAATAAAACGTGAACAATCGAAACCGATTTTGACCCCAGAAAAAAAAAGTTATTTGACACGACCGCGTAATCGATTCGCAATTAGTGACACGAAGCAACGCGAATGAATTTACACCGGCGCGTTAACACCGTCATCGGTGGAAACATTGCAAACGAATCGGAAGGTGAATAAGTGCGACAGCAGATGCCGTGCCGAATAACGTTCAACCTTGTAAACTTCGTTAACTTGACTTCTGCAAAGATTTCTACGGAGCCTGCAAGTGGATTACGTTCGAACGCGAGCCGACAAAGTTAGCTGAAAGTTACACGCTTTGTTCATTGTTGTTCCGCACGGTAGTTTGAAGCCGCGCGGTATCTCGATCTCGAGACAAATAAAGATAGAGTTGCTCAGTTAACGAAAGGTAGCGAGAGCTCCGGCAGCGAGTTAATTTACTTCGTATCTGAATTTAATAAGCCGTCGCGCGCGCAAGTTCTCCTATCCCCTGTAATATTACAAGAGAACAAAAGTTATCTACGTATGTATATAGCTAAATATGTATATACAGGGTGTCTGAAACAATTTCGACACAGCCGGAATGTGAAGATAGATTGGGTCAATCTGAACAGAAAAGTCATTTTGCGAAGTTTCCAATATTTATTGAATTAATTAATTAATTAATTAATGTAAGCTAATGAGCGCGTGGGAAGCAATGGTCCGGTCTCTGCAGACGTGTGTACGATTTTCTTTACAACTGAAATTATACGCGCCTATAAAATCTGGACCATCGCTTCCATTGGCTTACATTAATCAACAAATATTGCAAATTTTACAAAACGGTAAATGACCCTTCCGTTCAGATTCATTCAATCTGTTTTCACGTTTAAAAATTTTTCAGTCACCCTGTATACATATATAATAACTTTTCCGTTGCGTATATAAAATACGAATACCCAATTCACATTTTTATATTCAAGTCCATCTCACCAGGAAAGAGCTTATTCTTAAACCCCAGTAAAGAATCAAAAAAAAGTCAACAACTTTTACGTTAAAATTCAAACACGTTTCAGCAACTTTTTTTCGGTTTACTTTTTGTCGTGAAAGAAAGTTCCAAACTAAACTTACAAGAGAGATTTTGCGGTAATGATCAAACGCGATTTCTTGCATATATATTATATAATCATATAAAAAAAATATCACACTATTTTGCCGAACTTCTTTCCACAATGACTATAGCCCAACTTTGGATATATTAGCAAAATTATATCAAAAATATTTGATTGCAACAAGAAAAGAATAAAAAAGTCAATTTTTGTAAATAAAATCAGAGACATATACACAATAATTTAACTGTAATAAATTATATGTAACAAATGTTTCTGTATAACGTAACACATATCGCGGAAAACATAAATATGACAATTATTAAGATAACTTAACCCCGCGACTATATGCAAAATATATACACATATACATATATATCGTAACGTAGAATAATTCATTATTAAATT